CCAGGAGAAGGGCAGCTGAGGCAAAACGAGCTATACAACCATTAATTAATAATTAATGGCATACACAAATATTATTCCACCTCCCCAAGAAAAAGGCCACACAGTCTCACTAAACTCAGGTTCCTTCAGAGGGCAGCCGAGCTGCAGAGCCTGGACACAGAAAGAGCTTCTCAATTCCCTCCGCCAGTTACGTGAACTAAAATGAAAAGGATTCACAGCCAGGTGAAACCTGGGCAGGCAAAGCAATGCTCAGACACACAGGCTGCTGTAGTCTCTTTTCTAAACTGGAACATGCCAAAAGCAAAGAGATTTGCAGCAATTCCTCCCTACATGGAGTAGGGAGCAGCTGAGGTCAGCACTGAGGCCTCTTATGTCCAAGCATTTCCTTGAAACAGTGAGAATTAAAAATCAGCTATTTTTTAAAATAAAGAATGGGATCACCTGGTATTCATTTGACAGCATGAACCGGTGTGTTTGAAAGCACGAAACACATCCTTTTAACATCAATCCACCTGAACCCTCCATTTCAGAGGCAGCAGCAGATGCTGGAAAGCCTAGAGTTCAGCCCAATTGCATGAATTTTATGCCAGGTTTTAATTTGGCAGAGTAATCCTAAAATTACATTATCATACCTGTTAAGGCAGGCACCATACAAATTATACAGTTCCATGCACTCTTAAGCTGAAAGCATTTTTCATTGTAGACAAGTACAACAAATGCTGCCAAACTGAAGGAACGATATCATTTAACAGTTGCAAAAATTGTTAACCTATGAAAATGCAAACAATGATTAGAAAAAAGACCTTTCCTTCTGATAAGGTTGACAGACAGTTTAATCCCAAGATCCTCACTGTGAATTTTTCTTTTCTTTTTTTTTTTTTTGCTTGATTAGCTTCAATTCTGAAACCACATGAAAAAGAAAAAGGGGGGAAAAAAGACATAACAAGGAGAGTTAATCATATGCAGGGAAACAGTGATGCAGCCAATGCAAATCCAAGGAAACAGCAATGGTACAAAGACAGAACAATTTTACTGTGATTTATCATGCAGCAGAGAGCTTGCTTTGGTTTTCACACCTGAGCCACGGCACATAAATGGATTCTTTGATGGTAGCACTTTCTGTTAGAAAGTCATTCTTTAGCCTGCATCTGCCAGGGCACTCGTGGTGTTCAGCTCACCTGCACACAAAGGGTTAAAACTTACCATTTGTAATAACACCTCAACTGCTGCAGAACCATCGCTCTGCTTCTTTGACAAAACTCCCTCCAATACTTCCACCATCGTGGTCCAGCACGATCCAAGACAGCCCAATTCCAGGTTACATGGATGCTACACCAGCATCCCCAGGAGGTCTGGGGAAGCATCACGAGCAGCTGCTTCTGTTTTTTCATGCTTTTCTCAGGACATAAGGCAGGGAAGACCAGAGGAGTGTTACCAGCAACAAGAAAGGCCCGAGCCAGATCCACAAATTTATCCAGGTGCTTACATTCACAGTGATTTCACACGGGACTTGGTAACTAAATACACACTGCTGTGGGTACAGGTGTTACAGTTCTATTGCAATGTGTTGTACACAAACAAATCCCTTTGACTACAGCAGGCAGCAGCTTCCTAGAGCGACACAAGATAAAAAAGCTTCTTACATCGTCTGTGTCTGTCAAATAGGCCAGATCAGATGGCAGAGGTCTAGCATTCTGCATGTTCTCAACAACATCCTGCTGAATTAACTGACTGCCACATTTTTTAGCAATTAAAATGTTCAAGTTACCTCAGCTGCAAATGTTAGAATATCCATCCTGGCCATTGCAGCCCTACAGGGGATATATTTAAAATGGGCATTAACAGCTGCCCCAAGACACCCTCTGCACCAGATCTCCCAGCCCTCTTCTCTGAGCAGCTCTCCCAGCACAGCCAGGGCAGAGTGCCTGAAGTGCTGATGCCTGGCCTGCAGCTCTCTGATCTCCTGGCAATCAATGTTCTGCTCTATCTCATTTCAGTGCTTTTCCTTCTCCCCCCCAGAAAGTGGACAGCCTGTTGGGCAGGGAGTTTGCTCTAGGAAATGCTGGCTTTTGAATGGTTAAAAGGAAAAAGGACCTTCTTTCCAGAGTGAGAAAATGGACAATAAAAAAAGACCAGTCCAGACCCTTTACCAGAAAATGGAATTGTGCTTTTTGATAACAAGCTGTGCTGATTCTGGGAATTGGATACAGAGGATTAGGTGTATTTCTGTCCAAGCTAATTTGTGGTGACAAGCCACGGTGGTCTCCTCGGAAGAGTTTATATTATTGGTACCTTTACAGTCTTTCACTCTCTGCAAGTTTAAAAATAGCAGTGAGTTCATGAATTTACTTTTAGGCAGAAAAGCTTATAAATATCTTTTTTAGACCACAATTGTGCAACAGGCGGGAAAACTGTACTGTGCATTTGAAAATCAACCTAATGATGGATTTAAAGGCTTAAAGCAGCTCTTTCACTGTACTTGTTTGAATCTTTAATTACACACTTCTCTTCATCCCCAGCCATCAGCTGTGATACTGAACTAGAGAGCTTTATAAATCACTGGGTTTGGTGTCTTCAAACAATTACAGATTTAGCATATTTCAGGAAGACAAAGCTGTTGAAATGCTGCTGAGCTTTGTCAAGTGAAACATGGAATTCTATAGGAAGTTTTTTAATTAGGTTTCAGGCCAACAGAAGCAATTCCTAAATATTCTGGCAATGCTTGTCTGGACAATGCTGCCTTGCTCAGGGTGGGCCTCTGGGCTTCATTTTTTGATGACTGACACATATTTAGAGAGTGAACACAAGGGTATTTGCTTGAAAGGGAACATTTCTGAATATGTTTCAGTGTACACAGATTTGACTCACAAAGTCTGTTAACACACAGTTCCTGGTACTGGCCACTTCTATTTTATCTGGAGATAAGAGTCTGCTCCACCCATGGCAAAGTGGTTGCTGTGCTGCTGCACTCTGGGCTGTTCTCTCCTCTTAGCCGAGGGTTGGCAGTGTAAGCAAGAGCTTCTTTGTCATCCCACTGTAACTTAAATCATCAAACCAAACCAGATTTTGCTTTCTGTGTTCAGTTCTCCTAAGGTGACCTGAACAGGCAGTGCTGCTCTCCAGGAGCAATGAGCTGGAAGCAAAGTCAGCAGCTGACAGATGCCATCTATTACCTTGACAGAGAATAACCCCGGAGGGCTGGGAAGGTCAGTGTCGGGGTACACACCTCTGGTTTGACATGGGAAATGGGCCCCAGGCGGGTAATAGTCAAATGGAAATGCTCCTGGTGTTCGGTATCCCCTGTAAAACAGGATGGATGGTTGCAATCATTTGCTATGAGCTACACCCACTCTGTAATTGGCAACCTCAGCCCTGTGTCCTCAGCTTAAATGGGCACATATCAGTGTAGAAGTTGTGTTGTGTTCTTGGCTTCTGTTCTCTGTCAGACTGAGCATGTAGTAATTGGCAAAAATAGAATGTAACAGGGTACATTATATATGTGTATATATATATTAGCTGAAGGGGCCTTAAGTGCCAGAGAAAGGACTTCAGTGTTGATAAACGAGAGGGAATTAGAGGACACACTGATATTGTGGTAAAGATATAGGACTGTGCAGGTGCTGCCTTGCTGTGCAGGGTGGAGACATTTTTTTGCATCTTCTTGAAAATTGCTGTCTTTTGCAAAGGATCAGTGCTCTGTGAGCTACTAGTCAGACTTCTGGGCATTATGGAGCTGCCACAGGCAAGCACTGAAATGGGTCTGTAGGTTGTCTCATGTTCAGATAATTTGTGCTCATCCATAACTAAATGACTGGAAATCAGCAGCAGCTCCCATTTTAGGCTGACCTGGGGAAAGCCAGTGAGAACTTGCAATGTGCACTTGGAATCACTCCATGCTTCCTTAGTGAAGGTGAATCTAAATGCTTTTCAACTTTTGGAAGAAATCTGAATTTGAATTTCAGTCTTTCAACGTACACATTCCTTTTTGGACTCTGGGTCACCTGTGAATCCTTGCATGAGACATTTAACTGTTCCAAATTTTGCCCTCCCCATCCCTTAAAGACAAGCACTGCCTGCCCTGTGGGAATGCTGTGTGAAGTGCTGATAGTCAGAAATAAGGAAAACACATCCTTTATAAAACTTTTGGAGATGGCCTATATAAGAATATCACCAAACCCTACCACCTGTCCAGAGATTTATTCAAGCATCTGCCACACACAGAAATATCTGGGAGAATAAAATTAATTTAAGTCCATAAATCTGATCCCAACAGTAACTGATGCAACCAGTAACTCACAACTTCTATGCAGAAGAATGTACCACCACATCACATGGGAGATGAGGGAGACTCTGGACATACCTCTCCCCTCCAACCTGGCCAGATGCTGAGCCCCACCTTCCAAACAGGCTTCCCATGCCATACCAGGGCTCCTCCCAGGGAAAAGGTGGCTGCCCTTGCCTGCCACTAGAAAGATGGGATCATCAGGCATTAACTAGACCCATGCTTTCAACAAGCATGGAAAAAAGTCACTGGCTATTTTACTTGCCTTGCTCCTAGGTGCAGGCACACATCTAAAAGGCAATGCTGCCCTCTGTTACGTCTTCAGCCACTCACTCTCACACAGAGCCAGCTACTCCCACTGCAGCCTGGGGCTTGGAATTAGCCTCAGTCAAATGACACAACACAAAAAGGAAGCTGAGCACCTTCAGTTCCTAATGAGCTGCAGAGAGGGTGTTTTGCAACCATTAAGGACAAAGAAATCTAAGTTATTCTAATTCTTCAGGTTCTAACCTCCACCCACTGCTTTTTTCACTATATCAATCTGCTATTAACAATTAAGTAAAAATCAGTATTTTCACCTTGTCATTTTTTTAATTAGTAACATTGAACTTCATGGATTAAAACTGCATGAAACAGATTTTGCTACCCGTTTAGAAGATAACTTTTATTTGATCTTTATTTTGGTATGTTTTCTTATTGATGAGTTCAATACGGAAATTTGAAGGCAATCCTGAGTCCAATGTAATCATTCTGTATAAAACTGTATAAGATATATGTTTGAAAGTGAAAATGTACTGCCAATGTATTATCACCACATGCCCATTTTTGAAAACAAATTATAGCATTAAAAGGAAATAAAGATTATTCCTTATTCATATTAGGCCTGACTCCAACACTGGTAATCAGACTGACTGTTAAATAGCTCCACAAATACTTTTCTTGTACTCAGTGGAATTACTTAGGTGGACAAATACTGCTGGGCCCTGGCAAAAGTGGGGGAACCTGGGGTTCTCTGATTCAAAGGTTTATTATTAACAAAACCCTTAGTTGCTCAAGCCCCACAAAATGGTTTCAAGTGAACCGTCACACCACTAGTCGGAGAAAGGCACACACGTGATAAAGGAGCATGAAACAGCTCACTGACGTGGTGATACACAGCTGATAAGGAAAACAAAAACCAACTCAAAAAAATAAAACAGTTGAGTTTCAGTTGAAGCCAGAAGCAGCATCTGGTCTCTTTTCTCTCCTAGAGTCAAGACAATGTGTGCAACGATGCTGAAGATATTTTCAATTCTTGCCGTCCTCGCAGGTAAGAATAACAAACTGATAGAAATAGCACTGGACTAAAGAACTTGCTGAAGTGAGAGAGCAGATGAACCTGACTAGCAAACTAGAACATTCAAGATGATTTATTTCAGGATGGAATGAAAATCATGGCTGTACTGCTAGGCCATTTTGTGGAAATCTGCAAACTGACCATTGCCTGGTAAGAGATTTTTGCTCAAGAACAGAATTTTAGCTTTGGTAGATTAATGCTTTGCTCTAACATCAGGAAGAGGCAAAGAGCTCTTGCATGGAGCGTTTGGGTCTTTCAAGTGTTTCAAGGCTGGGTTTTCCCACATTCAGCTCTTGTCTCCCCTTGGTAATAGGGTTGGGAAATGATGACTCAGTCCAACCGCCACCTAAAAATTTGGGGGGATGTTTAACTTTAAGCATGCAAATAATCTTTGGATTTCCCTGAAGTTAAGTGACAACATAAATTTTGTGGAATCTAGGAATTATATGGCATATTAAAGATTATATGTTATTAATGTTTCAAGGACATTTCATTGTGCTAAGCTTTACTCTTAATATATACAGAAGCAGGCATTTTAAGTCTAATGTTCCATGGAGATGAACAGCCCCTGTATCCACTACAGAAAATGGAAGTTAGTTTCCACGTGTTCTTTTCAAGATGGAATTATCTGGTTTGGATGCCATAGAAATATTTTAAATATTAAATATTAATACTCCTGGTCTTTCAGTGTTCTAACTCTCACATAGACAGAAACCCAACAGATTTTTACCTTCGAAATGAAAAGTAATTCAGAGTTGGTACCAATACTTTTCAAAACAATGTCTTCTAATTTGAAAGTTCTGGATTTAAGACTAGCAGTGTATCCAGACTGATGGGTGCCACTGACTGGTGGTTTCTGTCGTGGCTAGAAAAAGCTCAGCAAACCTGGATTTACTTCATGAGTGTTAAACACTGCAAAGGACTTCAGTGAAAGTGGGAGATTCCAAATTAACTGCAAAGACTTTCTCTGTAGGAAGGAAAAGGCCTTACCATAATATTGATGAGTGAAAGACATGGATCAACTGTTCTAAACAAGTTGTGGTCATGTTCACACTAGCTTTTTTCACTGAGCTAGTTCTTACTCATGCACTTTTACCATTTAAACCAAAAGGCCTGAAATGGGATTAGGGGTTAGAAACTGTAAACAGTGAACTAAATGCAAAGCGAAACTCCCATTAACATCCGTGATGAGGGAACAGGCTCTGTGGGTCCAGTTCACTCCACTGTCAGTCAAAAGCTCCATCTTGCAATTAGTGTTGGCTTTAAATAGCTCACTGGACAAGGTCAGTCTTACAGGCTCTGACTTTATCTTTTCACTGGAGTGAAGCCTATTTCAATTAATTGTATTTCTTCAAAATATACAGTTTTATGGAAACTAGAATGCTAAAAATTCATTTCTGCCGGAAAAGCTTAAAACTGTCAGGCTCTGTGGCACTCCTGACTCCAAAACCACAGAATTATAAAGGAAATACTTGGAGCAGATGACTGGAAAATGGATGTTTTCAGTAGAACGACACTGTGTTGCAAGACCGTGGCTTTAATCCTGCAAAGGGCAGAAAATAAATACGTGTAAACTGTGTGGCAAGAAACTATCATCCTCTGGCCAACACTAATGCTTAAAGCTGAGAACTGTGAACTGAGATACCTAAAATAATATGACACAGCTTTTATATTGGATCTCAGTACGGATTAAGCTGCTGTGAACTCAAAAGACAAGTAGGACTGGCAGTCAGCCCTGGGATCCCTTCTTTCCCCAAGGCAGGTTTGACACATCTAGGTCAGTCTCCAGCCATTCCTGGGAGACTGTCGTCACATATAATATAAATCTTGTTGTAGTTTAAACCCACTAATTCTCATCCTAGCTCCATCAACACGGAAAGTAGATTACTCCTTTATTCCTTGCAGTGAGCTTTTACTATTGAAGCCATCAAAAAAGGAAAATAGTACCCAGAGTTCAGATAGGCTTGCATACTGTAGCAACTGAAAAATCTGCAGTATTTATATGGTTAAAAATATCAAAATAGATTGTTTGCTTTTTAAACAATGTTTTCTCTCACTGGGCTGATAATTTCAGCATTTGGTATTACTGGAGGTTCTGCTTAAACTCTCAAAAGCAGCACCTGAACATAAAATGCACAGATATTACATTGAGAAGAATATTTTACATGTTTTACCTCTATCATTAATACGTGCAATAAACCCACATGAATATTATTATAAGATGAAATTCTCAACTTGCCTGTTTTGCACAGAAATCTCAAAAAGACTTATGCTTTCCATCACATTCAAAAGAAATATATTCTCCTTCTGAATCTTTAGACAGTAGCTTTAAAACTGGGCTCAGTGACCTACAAACCCCCTGAAATTCAGATGCATGTTTCTGACAGTTCAGGCTTTGTTGCTGTGTGTCACCATTGCTGGTTACAGAGAGGATAGAAACAGATAAATACTGTAACATGGTGCTTGATTCCTTTCACTTCTATGACTTTGTACTCAAGACTGATCAGAACATTATGGGGAAGGGCTCACAGGTCATGTTTGCTCCCTCTCTGCTTTGAGCACAGCAGAAAGGGTTGATCAAGTTATCACAGAACTTCCCACAACCCACATTCAAAAAGCTTAGCTTGGTGTGGAAAAAAAACAGCTTCTGGATGTAAACACTAAGAAATCTAAACAAAAGCTAAGTAATTAGCAAAAGAAAAGCAGCCAAAGGCTGCTGGGCTCCAGCCTGAGAGACCCAACAGTGTCATGGAGTACCAGTCAGAACAAAAGAATGAAAGAGACAACAGGTGATGGTGCTCCACAGTGAAGGAGATCAGACATCTAAAAGAATAACAGAAAAAAAAAAAACCAAAAAGGCTGGAAAAGAGGGCAAGACACAGCTGTGAATGAGAGTGCAAGCACAGGAGAGCACTGCAAGTGCAGAAGAAAGGTTCGGTTTAGCCACAAGCTCTTAGTGAGAAGATGAGTATCTGCAAGTGAGAGCAAGTACAGCTTTAGGAACACTGCTTTTTCAGATTATTTGTTGTAAGGGCACAGGTATTCTGGGGAATTTATTTGCTTGCTAGCTTTTACCCACTCCCAGCTCGTTATCACTGAAATTTCCACACAAGGCCCAAGGGAAACCGTACTGAAAAGGAGAAGAACTAGACATGTCCTGTGGGTTCCTTTGCTAACACAGGGAGTGAGACACTCCTGCATGGCTCCCAGGGCCTGATCTCTCCTTGGGTGATCTCTCCTCACCACACTTTCTGCCCACAGGCCACGTCGGCGGCGTTGTGGTGACTGTCCCTGAGAAGACAGTGAATGTCACTACAGGTGGAAACGCCACCCTCCTCTGCACGTACACGAGTTCTGCACCGCTGGGAAACTTCTTCATTCAGTGGAGCTTTTACAGTGCCAAAGAGAGCCAGCTGCACACTGTAAGATATTTATTTCTTAGTACTATGAAATTATATTTAGATATCCTTAAGTCTTCAAAGAGTCTTGTTACATCTGGTAGGGTTATCCTTACTACAGACCAGGGAGGCAGGTAATGTTGGTGTTCCCACCCTAAGGACTAAGGACTGGGATGCAGTGAAATTTAGGGGCAGATGCACAAATTATATGGGCTCCTAGATCCCACTGGCATCCTGAATTCCTTTAGAAACTGATGAGAAATTACAGAAGTGATTCAGATGATCAAACAACTTGCTCCAAGTCACACAGGAAGTGTGAAGCAAAGACCAGGTGTCAAAAAATCACACAAGCACTGCAGCCCCTGAACCAGCTCCCTTTTCTCTTGTCTGGCAGATATTTCCTGCCATTGTGAAGGCTGCTTTCCTGGTGAGACGCCCTTGCCTCTGACAATGTGTTCCCCATTTAAGGGTCAAACAAGAGCTCCTTAATTCAGTGGCTCAGTAAGAGGAACGATGCATGACAATGGACTATCAGCACAAAGTGAGCAGGGAGTGTTTTGGCAGGACTCTGCAGAAAGTTGTTACAGCAGGAAATTCGCCACAGCAAACTTGCATTGGTATTTCAAGGCATCCCACAGCTGTCATTGTGGAAGCAGAACAATGACAGATTAAAGGCAAATACTCCCTGCCCTTCCCAAGAACCCGAGAGGCTGCAAAGCCAAACAGTGTCTTACTCCAGGGCTGTAATGAGACCATGTGGTAGGTTGGAGTGTCAGCACGGAGGCAGCATGGGGATTGTGTGGGACACCACAACCAGAGAGCTACATGCTGTAACCACTGCCCAAGCCTCTCATGTGGCTGTAAAAACCTTGCAGAGCAGCCTGGTTTGCCTGGAAGGAGTCAGGGACGGGGTGTGTAACTTCCTTTATATACTCACACTACTGCCCAAACTTCAAGAGCTATCTGTTAATCTTACATTATGGTGGGGAAATGAATTCACTCCCAACATAACACACAAGGTATGAATTCCCATCAGCTCAGTCCTGACAGGTGCTAAGCAGCCAGTAACACCTTCATTTACAAGAAGAAATGCTGATTAGAAGTGTTACTGCATCCTTGAAGATGACTGGGATTTTTTTCCCATGCCCTGGAGTAAGGCATGTGCCTGTGAAACAATCAGTTTGGTTTTATCCCGTTGCTAACATTTCTTTTCTAAGAGTTCAGTCCTCCTGCCTGGTGTTACAGCTGAGAGCTGATGTAAAGAGATTTGACTTAGAGGAGTGTCACAGTCCACACTGAGGATATTCTTGTCACGTTCACCAATTTCCTAATAATATTACGATGGGAAGCTTGCCATTGTTGATAAACTTTCTATTTGGTGTATCAATTATAGCAGAATTAGACCGTCTGTAAATTGCAGAATGTGCAGGATGTAACATATTTGGCATTGAACAGCTGTAGACAGTATATAAGAAATGGCAATTTAACCTAAGACAGAACTGCTTACCCTCCTGCAGCGTATCACAGCCACAGATAAAGCCTGTATCAGTGCCAAGTACAAAGTCTGGGCCCATCCCAAATTCTGACTCTAGCTGAATGCCAGACTGATGTAGGCATACCTTACCTGATTAATTGTATGAGTAGATGTTACTCACTGTTTGCTTTTCTCAAGTTAAAACTATTTTATTAAATGAATAATTATTCATGAAAGGGTGGTAGCTACAGGTTTTCTAAATTGTACATAGTACAATATATTATCATCTTGATCCGGTATGTTACATCTTAAACTTTAATCACTTGTTCAGATGGGAAGGGCAGTACTGAGAGAGGATCAAGCCCATCTTCTTCAGGTTTGGTTAGAGTGTCTCTGTTCTACTTGCATCAAATTTTCCATATTGCAAGACAATAAATGCATTTTCTGGTTACAACCAAGGAAAATAAGCAGATTGTAGTTATAAGTACTTTAGAGGGAGAATCACACAGTTTCAAGAGATCCAGGAGGGGAAACCCGTTTGTAAACTGTGACCAATGATGAGAAAAATACCCCCTGAGAACTATAATCATAAAATACTGTGGGTGGTTCAGAGTATACTCAACAAGAACTAACTGATGCAAGACTACCAAATGTCAGGGAAACCTGATGGATGAATCCCTCCAGCGCTCACTCCTGGCTTCTGCAGCTCTCACTGCAGGCAGTGGGAAAGCTGTGCCTAAAAGGACTGTAAGAAACAATACTGAGAAAAATTTCAGCTGGTTCTCCCCATCTGAAACTAATTTCACGGTAAATTCACTTTCACACCGCAACACATTTGCAATGGATGATTTGCATTTTCATTAAATAAAGTTGGTTCAGTCTGGAAAGGCCACAGGTTAGTGGCTAATCCCATTCTCCTTGAACACCAAGGTACAATCTCCTTTCCCTGCAGTGCCACTTCTCCTTGGCTGTCGGGCTCAGAAGGTCCCCTTTTCTGCTCTGAGCCTGGTGCTGTGCCTGGAGGGTGCACGTGTATGAAGAGCTGCAGGACTGGGGCACTGCTCTTTCTAAAATGCTTTCAGCAGCACATTCAGTCTTGTATTATTTGACCCTGTGTCCTTTTACCACAGTGTGGCAATTCCTTACCATTTTGAATCTATTCACAAAAAAATTAACGGTGTTAATGCAAACACTGGGAAGGACAGACTGTGACTGCCTGTGGAAAATATGGTTTAAGAAATTACACAACACAGATGAACATGAAATTAGATTTTCACCCTCCCTCTCCATAAGGTTGCTATTTCTATTTCAGGTTTGTGACTTTTTTGAGTTTCAGAAAGGCCTGAAAGCCTGTATGTGTTTCTCCTACAAGTTTAAACAAGAAAAATAATCTCTCTACAAACCTGGCTTTGCCCCAGTGGCTTGGCACATAGGTGAATTAAGTTTCACATTTTGTTCCAAGCAGGAAACATATGTATGGCAATAGAGGAGATTGCCAGCTTTGGCTTTCATTGTTTAGGTAAAACAATACCAAAATGCAAGTCAAAAATATATTTAATATGCTGGTAAAATGACAAAACTAACTATATTGAAAAGACTGGCACCATATCTTACTGAATAACAGAACAATAGCTTGCATTTTAAGTGGACTAAGTTTATTTAATTGTATGAGATATTTAGATTCTTCTAACATGTACATGATAAACAAACACTTCCTTATAAATAGCATATATTTGCCCTGAAATAGTTTGTTGAAAATTCTGGCTCTATTCAAAATTTGCCGTTTTTTTCAGCAACTAAATGGATAACATTTTCAAATTCCATTTTTGAAAGCTGAACATTTCTGCCAAATATTTTGAAGGCAGGAGACTTACAATTTTTCAAAAAGAAAAGCAGAAAATACTTTTCCCACCTGCTACATTTTTAAATATTCCTGTCATCTTACTAAATGGAAGATGTCTTGATGACTATTATTCACATGGGCAGTATATTGAGAATCATAAGATTAAGGAGAGGGGATGTTCTCCATAACAAGTATGTGTGGGGAAAAAAAATCTTGATTTTAATAAATACCGTTTATTCAAATAATTGAGAATATGACCCTGTCTCTCTACAGTGGCAGCAAATAATAAAGCAAACTGTAGAATGTCATAATTAATTAAGGCATATTTATGCCATTAGGATGCTTTTGGCTTGAAGCATTAATGAACAGGAGGTTTAAATCACTAGATTTTAGAACACAACATATAATAAGCAGAGGTCATAGATAGCCCTTTATTTTCCCCTGCCACTTACAATACATGTTTTGCAGTGTTTTGTACATAGGCTCAGGTACAAGGGTGGTGTCTGGGTGAAATCAGTAAAATCAGGATCAGGACTAGAGCTAATTTAATGCCCCTGAGTATTCACCAACAGATTTTACCCTGCCTGCAAGTGAGGCCGTGCTGTTCCTTCCTGGGCAGATCTGCCTCCCAGCACAGCCTTTGTGGGGCTGGTTTTGTCTTTTGCTGGTTCTGGTGTTCTCACCCCCTGCCCCACAGTGCCCCCCCTTCCCAGGGCTGGTGCAGGTGCTCACAGATCAGCCCTTGGCGGTTGCAGCAGCGAGGGTGAAACCACAGCCAGGCAGCTCACAGGCAGCACGACAAAAGGCAGGCAGCAAACAGCAGTGGCAGGTGTTCACAGCACTGTTTTGAAGGCAGCACAGCTATATATAGTGTGTGAATATAAGAGCTTTTTACTAATTGAGCCTAACTCTGCTCTTTTCCTAAGAAGTTTCTCCAGTAGAAGTAATTCCCCTTGCTTGAACTCAATAATGTAAGCATAAAATCATGGAAAATAGGATGCCATATATATTTTTGACTTTTTCTTCTTTCCATTTAACCCTTAGCAACGTGTCCTTTAATGACAAATTTAATTTTTAAATAATAACTCCCAGTCAAGGATCTTGAGGACTTTCCAATACTGAGCTATCTCTA